GAAGGTCGTCTCCAGCCGACGCTGGACGGGCCGAACGTGCCGTCGTGGGTGTCGGACATTGGTCTGCAGTGTTTGCAGCTGCATGAAGAAGATCGTCCGACGTCTCTCATGCTCGCGTCGATGCTCAACAAGTGCCATGTCTGAGCGTCACCTTATATTCGGCATGACGTCATATAATTCATTGATGCTATCCTGGATTTGTTTTTCAGGTTCGATTTTGGAGGGTGCAATGGACGATCGCAGATTTGAATGGGATTTTTCTGGGCCGATTTTATCCGGACATTATTATCCGGGCAATTGGCACGGCGAGCTGAGAGCATGAGCGGCGAGGTGAATCGACATTTGAAGTTTTGGAATGAAGTCTCTTGTTTTGTTTTATATGGATAAAGAAAGGTCCAAGGAGTCCAAAACCCCTAAAACGGTGCTCGTACTGCTGTGCCAACAGCGTATGCTATGCGCCGTTAAAGTTTGGAAAGAACGGATACATTGATACACTGATACTGAGTTTTGTATCAGCTCGCTGCAGCTTGAACAACGCATAGCATACGCTGTTGGCACAGTACGAGCACCGTTTTAGGGGTTTTGGACTCTTTGGACCTTTCTTTATCCATATAAAACAAAACAAGAGACTTCATTCCAAAACTTCAAATGTCGATTCACCTCGCCGCTCATGCTCTCAGCTCGCCGTGCCAATTGCCCGGATAATAATGTCCGGATAAAATCGGCCCGAAAAAACGTCCTGTCTGCAGCGAAAGACCCTAACAATTCAATGCCAGGAGCAATCCAGCATGAATATATATATATATACCCCACCTTACTCTTTGTCGGAGAACGCACACGAGGTCATTGCGCACTTCCATCCATTCTGACAGGGGTGGACAAACTTGCCTGCGACGACATTCCAACATACACACTTTGCCGCCGCTGTCGCTTGGCCGCTTGGCGTTGAAAGTTCGGCGCGATGACCAGTTTCAAGTCCCTTTCGATGACAGTCTAGTTTCCCACATCCCAGGTGGGAAACATGTGGGAAACCACCGAGCGTTTGATCAAGACGTGGTACCTACCTCCACATCTGGTCAGTATTCCACCTCGTTGCCGTTCTGACGATCGCACAGCACCAGTCCACTTCCAGTCCTACACCGATACGACGGAGGGTGGTGTCTGAGCGTCGCAGGAATGCATCGATCGCTTTCCGGTTGTAGACCTTCCCTGCCACCCAATGCTTCTAGGTTGGAGTTGCTTCGTCTGGATGCGCTTGGTGCCTGATCGTCCACAAGGAGACTCTAGTACGAGTTGCACATACAACGACCCAACTAATAAAAATGTGAGGAACATTTGACATCGCTGTGAAATATGCCGCCTACGTAAGTGGGACGAGCCACGGACGTGGGCTAGGACTGACATTGGCGCTGCTTCGTTTCGACGACGTTGCCGTCTGCTGTACTGTACTACAGTGGTAGCAGTGCAATCGTCTCCGAGAAATTTCGTCGTGCTGTCGCGTCTCTAGCTCGAACAGCACAGAAGCTCCACGATCCATTCTCATGCGGCAATTCCGGCTTCGCTAGAACACACAGCGCAATGATTTCGCGTACGATCTACCCCAAAACAGCTACAGTGTAGAAGGACATCAATACCTCAACGACAGGCTTCAACTGCGCCATACACGCCGTTCTTCGCACATCGTCTTCTTGTCAAGGCATTTTTCAAAGCGGATTTTTTGCTGTCTCCATCCTGAAACGATCTTCGGTCCAAAATCGGTTGCTGGTTCAAAGGTACACATTGTCATTAATTACGTCGACGGTAAAAAGAGCGTGACAACCAAGTAGACGTCGAGGCCAATCACAAAGAGGGTCAAGAAGCTCGTGAGGCACACCATAAACGTCGAGTTGGTCCACTCGCCCATGATCGAGCGCTGGCTCGTAAAGACGACCACCGGGACGAGGCAAAAGGGGACGCAGAAGCTCCCCACGACGTTGCAGACCATGAGCACCGACGTCGGCGAAAAGCCGCAAAAGAGAATGACTAAGCACGGCGTGACCGTGATCGCCCAGCGCAGCCACATACTCAGATGGAAACTGGTGAAGCCACCCATGATGACTTGGCCGGCGAGCGTCCCGACCGCCGACGACGAGATACCCGCGGCGAGTAAACCGACACCAAAGATGACGCTTGCCGCCTTCCCAAGCAGCGGTTCGAGGGTTTTGTACGCATTTTCCATCACGTCGAGATCCGCATACCCGGCCACATAAAACGTTGAAGCCGACATGGTGAGCATCGCGATATTGACGATCGCAGCGACACCAAGCGCGATCGCGATCCCGGCAATCTCAAACTTGAGCGGCGGCAAGATGGTTTCGCCCGCGACACCGCGCTCGTGCCGGCCTTTCGTGAGCTCCGAGTGCAGGAAGATAGCGTACGGTGTGACCGTCGCACCCACGATCCCGACCGCGTTGACGACGCTGCCGGGGCCGTCGAAGCTCGGCACAAAGGTGTGGTACGCGACCTGGGGCCAGTCGACGGACGAGAGCGCGGTTTCGACGATGTAGCAGACGACAATCATCGACACGAACGCAAAGATCGCGGCTTCAAAGTACGCGGCCTTGGCGTTGTGGACGAGGAGGAGCGCGAGCGTCGTAAAGCCAGTGAGGACGCCGCCCCACGCAAGCGGAATGCCAAAGAGGAGCTTGTACGCGACGGCAGCGCCGATAAACTCGGAGACGTCGCACGTGACGACGCTCACTTCCGCGACAAACCAGCAGACGTACACGACCCAGTTTGGCCACGCGTCGCGCGTGACCTGCGGCAAGCTCTTCCCAGAGGCAAGGCCAAGCTTGGCCGAGAGAATTTGGAAGAGCATCGCAATCAAGCTCGAGCAGAGAATGACCCAGAGCAGCGTGAGGCCGTACTCGGCGCCGCCTTCGATGTTGGACGCCATGCTGCCCGGATCAATGTAGGCTATCGACGTGACAAAGGCTGAGCTGAGCGCGGGGAGCAGCTTTTGGCAAAACGACTTGGGCGGTCGAGGCGTCTCCTTGATGTCGAGCACCGTGCTGGCATCGTGCGACGGGGTCTTGACAAGCGTGGCGGGCGACTGGAGAACCGCGTACGCGGGCGACGGCAGTACGTCGTGGACATGCGACGGGTCCTGGGAGGGGCTCGGCGGCTGAGTGACAATCTCTCGCATGCTGAGAAACGAGAGAATGGGAAAATGAACCGGTGAATCACCAAGCGATTCGTGCGGAGGACCGACAAAAACGTATGGTTTTGCAAATTGCACGAGAAGGAACAGCTGTTGCAGGTCGCACGTCAGATCACGTCGCCCGACTCGACCGCGCGTGCATTTTCTACCCAGCACAATGTTTTGTCCGTCGATGGTATCTTGGGATCTCTGCTTGTTATGCCCAAGACGTAGCTAGCCGCGAGAGATAACGTAACATTGACCCTCGACGGCCTTCAAGGCACCAAATGCTTCATTCGTTACCATCTGATTTGGATACCGCGTTCAAGTTCGCGAAGTTGAAATTCGGATACGATTTGCGCAGTGCACACCACAGAGTACAAACAAGACACAAAAGTTATACTTTGCGTAAAAACAAGCTATACGGCTGGAGACTCTGGAACGCAAAATACTAGCGTTTGGCCGTGGAAAGGCATTGATGGGGTTGTGATTTCACACGTAAAACCTACTTCTCACCGGGTGCCACTGCTGGTGTCGCCGCTCGTTGACAAGTATCAACCGTGCTTGCGCGACGCAACGAAGCAAGATGCAGCTCATTTGTATCAGCTGCGCTCAGCAAACTAGCGGCGCGATCCTTCACATCATGGCAAGACATCACCAAGATACCGCTCCATCGGTCCCACGCCCAAAGTTGCTCTTGAGGAGAGTCTCAGATACCAGCAAGTCATCATGCTATTGTCTCGTTTGGGTACATACTGCACGAACAAGCTTTGACCAAGATCAAGATTCGTGGTCCTGAATGGCCGGGAAACCGTTATCAGCACGTTGAAGTTGGTAGCTCAGGAGGGACTGAGACGTGCGGTTTGATCATGGAAAAGGGTGATAGCAACAACGACCGCACCCGGGTAACCGACGTCGGACAAGTCGCTCGCGCCTGTCGCTGTTTGTGGACCTGCAACGGCCACCAGAAAAACGAAGTTGACCTGCCACTTGGTTGCCCATCTTGCATCTTGGCTGCCAGGTTTGAGCGCACTCCACCAGGAATGAGCCGGCCCAAATTGTAGCTCGCCTCATGCAAGAACCAAAGCGACCCGTAGTCGGCCACGTACACTCGCACGTTGCCACGATTGCTGTATCAACAACATTCCAAAGCGACGAAGCTCCATCGGACTGACAATCCCACGCCATATTAGTGTTGATGATTTCTCCAAGTGTCTCTTTACAGCGCGGGCGAGTACTTGAGGAACTGCATGCTAAAGTCCGCTTCGCCCTGCGTCTTGGAGCGGAGCGCCGTGGCGTACCCGACCATGTTGGCCAGCGGCACGTGGGCGTCGATGCGGCTCCGGCCGACGCGCATCGACGAGCAAAGTCCAACCTAGTGCTCTACATCAGCACGCCACTTATCTTTCGGCACGTACTTCCTGAATGTGGGCCCGGCGCTGCGAGTTCAAATCCGAGAGGATGTCGCCGACGCACCGATCCGGCGTCCGCACGAGGAGCGCCATCATCGGCTCGAGCTGCACGGGCATCGCGAGCTCGATCGCCTCCTTGAGCGCGAGCGACGCGCAAGATCGGAAAGCTTGCGCGGACGAGTCATTGTCAAACTCGCAGTTGGCGGCGTCGACCGTAATTTCGAGGTACGCAAGGCGGTGGCCCGTGAGCGGACCGCAGCCAAAACCACTCTATCGAGCGCAAGGGAGCTCGAAACATGCAACGTGCGACAGAAGATGCACCTGGAAACCGTCTTCAATCGCTTGGACAAAGCCATGGGGCAGCTTTTGAAACAGCGACGCGTCCTTCGTCTCCGACTTCTTCCATTTGATGCGGTTGGTGCCGTCCTTGGACGACTCGGGGTCGATCGGGGCCAGCGTAAAGGCCACCTTGGCAAACTGCCGGTCGGTGCCCAGCATCGTATCGTACCGAAACTCGTGCTACCACTCTCGTTAGTCATTG